ACACACACACACACACACACACACACACACACACACACACACACACACATACACACACACACACACAGAGAGAGAGAGAGAGAGAGAGAGAGAGAATCATAGAGTAGGTCACATAGGTAAAGAGCAGGTCGTGTAGCCACACCACACAGTAGTGCTGGTGTAGATCGCATAGCCACAGCACACAGTAGCGCATAGTAGGTCACGTAGGGAGTACGGCAAAAGAAGGGCATCACCATCCAAAGTCCATTGGCACGACAAAAGGACGGTACTGGAAAAAAAAAGCAGCAAAAGGATGGTACCGGACAAAGAAGTCCCTATCGGTCGGCCAGCCATCTGGGCCGTTCACATGGCAGAAGGCCCAGATTGCAGGCCGATCACCCAAAATTCAGATCGGCCCGCTATCCAGGCCATCCATTTGCATAAACCGCCCAGATCGCGGGCCAATCTGGCTTTTGGGTGATTGGCCTGCTATCCAGGCCATCCGCTCGCACGACCGGCCCACGGTCTGGGTCTTTCCTTATGACGAATAGCGGTTTCTACAGTATTGTCAATTGCAGGACTGGCTGTCCCCCAACAGACCAGGAAGAACTCGGCAGTTATGACGAATAGTGGTTTGTATAGTATTGTCAACGGCAGGACTGGCACAATGCTGTGTCCCCTAACGGGCAGGAAGAACTTGGCATCAAGACAACCATAATGCAATTTGGGCGTAATAATGAACAACCAAGGCAGAGGCCAAGGGGTAGCAATAGCCTGGGCAGCAGAGGATAGGATGTCATGGAAGATTACTGATGACCTTCTGACAGTCAAGGGCTTCACATCGATCAGGCAGTCTGCACTTGAGTAGACTGAGAGGAATTTCAGAAGGAATAAGGTTAGCCTGACAATCAATCTGCAATATGGAGCAATGCTGTTTGGGGATCCTTCGTCCTTAAACCACCAGTACATCCGAGCGTCTTTTTGCTGAGGAGGCAGATTTCCCCTGCGTGCCAAGCTTTGCCAAAATGCCAGCACAGCGCTGCTTCTTTTCTTTTGGCTGGCGTCGCCAGGCATTTTTGTCCGGTAGCTCCGAGCCTCTGAAACATTTGGGTTGGCCCGATTTCGATTCTCGAGTTTGCCTTGGCGATGTACTGGCGGTCAATGGAAGGAATCGTTTGATGTAATTGTTGTACTTTTGCAACAACCCACCCTTCCCAATGGTAAAGGAACCCTGATGTAAATGTTTTGCTTTTGCGTGGAAAAGGAACCCGACTGACACTATCCTCAGCATTAATGAAGCCAGGACCATCAGGTGTTTCTAAACAGAGAAGGAAAAAGTAAAGGAGGATGAGCAGACAGTCAAAATACCAGATCGTGGAAGCGATCATAGTTGATCCATGTATGCCAGGCCCCGTTGATGAGGAACTTCCTTCTGTTCGCCAGAAGCACACAACATGAGTGTGCATGTTCACACGCAAGTGCATACTCGTCTCCCCTGAGGGCGCAGATTGCCTCTGAGAAAGACTTGACGTCTGCGTGCCACGGAACATTCCCCATCGTCAGACTTGATGCAGAAGAGCTGAAACACAAGGTCCAAACATTGCAGACAAGTGTCAGGCCACAATCCAAACACGTCCTAATTGAAGAGTTCATCTGGGTCACCTTTTTTTTTTTTTTTTTTTTCATATGGGTTCTATTAACTTCTATACGAGGGAAGGTCTTAAATCAGGGAAGGAATGGCAAGGATCTATTGGGGAGTACTCTCTTCGCTTGCACCGTCGTCAGCCTCCTAAGCCTGTCATGTATATGCTTCCTAAAGTGACTTTTTTTCCTTCTTTTTTCCCTCAGGGACAAAGCCCTGACCCATATGTATTCACCTGAATCCATCAGGATTCGAACTCATGATCCACTTTAGTTTCAGCCTACCGTATGCAGCACCCCCTCCCTATGATGGGCCGTAAAGGAGTTGTAGGCAAAACCGGACGGCCGTAGGAAAAAACTCAAGGAGGGGTACTGGGCCAGTAGACGAGCCCCCAACCGAACTTTTAAGGGGTCAGGCAGGCAACGAGATACTCCCTCCACACCCTCCAATCGTCATTTCCCAACATTTTCTTTGAAACAAGAAAATACAAAGCTGAAAAACCAAACAATCTCGTCCCTCTTCAGGATAAACAATCATAAACTGATTTGCGGACACCACTTAAGTGCATGTACCAAATGACTATAACGGTCAAAGATCTGTCTGGACAAGTTGGCACCTCTACCAACTAATCATATCAAGCCTAAAAAGGCACGAAAAAGTTGTAAAGTTGCATTAGTAAAACTATTACCGAAAAAAAGAAAATAAAATTGAAGAAGGTCCTTTCTTTGCAGATCGACCAAATGCAGTCGAACAAATTCACAAAACTATGTGACCTAAGAAAATAATAAACTTTAATTGTAAGTTTAATAAACATTATAATGTAAAGTTGAATAAACTCAATAAAGGTCATTTCTTTCCAGATCAATGCAAAATGCTGTTGATTCATGTTGAACAAATTCACAAAAGTTATGCAATCTCAGAGAGAACTGTCCACTTCTTTGTGTGAAATTGATATGAAATGCATGTTGAGTTTCTGAACTCTTCAGCAAACTCTTCGCTTAATTTTTGGGTTGATCGAGTACGTACGCACACCCATACCTGCCACAGTATGTAACTCCTTTGATCTCAATGAAGTCCGGCCTCCCTAACTCCACCAGTTCCGCATATGCCTGAGCCTCTTCCATGTTCCACCCCTTTACTAATGTCAACCTGTATACAGTGCGTTGCCTCTTGTCTCGCAGGGCCCGGAGGGAGTCCTGTGCATAACAGATGCATAACAACCATGGTGAACATCAGTCCTACGTGGTATCCGCAAGGACCCAAGTGCGTCACTTTGAGATGATTGATCCTGTGCATCTCAATCCTCGTTTATGACTATGACCCAAGTGCTTCACTTTGAGACGACTGATCCTGAGCATCCCAATCCTCGTTCAGGACTATGTTACCGGCTGCCCACGCAATACAGCATCAAGCCTATGAAATTATCAACCAAAACATCTGTAGAGACGGAAACTATACAGGAGGTGCAATGTTTTCCATCCCCACTTATGGTGCTAATAACATCTCTCTCTCTCTCTCTCTCTCTCTCTCTCTCTCTCTCTC